CGTACCGCGCGGCAATTTGATGACGTTCCACTAAACGTAGTCTTCGGGGAGCCGGTGTCGCAAAACAGGGGTCCCAGGCTCGATTCCCCCTGCCGGCTTTTTTGCTGGCTTGGGCTTCCTGCATCCTTTTGCCGAAAATCTGGAAAAACTCAATGTTTTTGGACGTCCTCTTTGCGAAAACGCTGGAAAAACCGTGTTTTTTGCGGGGAACATACATTACATACATTCAACATACATACATACAACATACATACAGACATACATAATTACATACATGACATACATACATACATACATACATACATACATACATACATACATACATTACATACATACATACATACATACATACATACATACATACATACATACATACATACATACATACATACATTACATTACCATACATACATACATACATACATACATACATACATACATACATACATACATACATACATACATACATACATACATACATACATACATACATACATACATACATACATACATACATACATACATACATACATACATACATACATACATACATACATACATACATACACATACATACATACATACATACATACATACACATACATACATACATACATACATACATACATACATACATACATACATACATACATACATACATACATACATACATACATACATACATACATTACATACATACATACATACATACATACATACATACATACATACATACATACATACATACATACATACATACATACATACATACATACATACATACATACATACATACATACATTACATACATACATACATACATACATACATACATACATACATACATACATACATACATACATACATACATACATACATACATACATACATACATACATACATACATACATACATACATACATACATACATACATACATACATACATACATACATACATACATACATACATACATACATACATACATACATTACATACATACATACATACATACATACATACATACATACATACATACATACATACATACATACATACATACATACATACATACATACATACATACATACATACATACATACATACATACATACATACATACATACATACATACATACATACATACATACATACATACATACATACATACATACATACATACATACATACATACATACATACATACATACATACATACATACATACATACATACATACATACATACATACATACATACATACATACATACATACATACATACATTACATTACATTACATACATACATTACATTACATTACATTACACATTACATTACATTACATTACATACATACATACATACTTACACGTACACTTACATTACATTACATTACATTACATTACATTACATTACATTACATTACATTACATTACATACATACATACATACATACATACATACATACATACATACATACATACATACATACACATACATTACATACATACATACATACATACATACATACATACATACATACATACATACATACATACATACATACATACATACATACATACATACATACATACATACATACATACATACATACATACATACATACATACATACATACATACATACATACATACATACATACATACATACATACATACATACATACATACATACATACATACATACATACATACATACATACATACATACATACATTACATACATACATACATACATACATACATACATACATGCATACATGCATACAAACTTATGTACATGCAAACTTATGTACATGCATGCATACATACGAGAGAGGGAGATTGGGGAGAGAGAGGCTTGGGGGGATGGGGAGGATGGGAGCAGAGGGAGGGAGAGAGGACGACAGAACACACAAGGGAGACAAGGAAGAGAGGAAGAAGGAGAAAAGGGAGAGGACAATGTCGGCGGACTGAGCCGGAGGCTCTAAAGTTTATAAAGACCTTCATGATATTAAAGATGAAATTGATTTTTCAGATTATCCTATTTATCATAAATGCTATGATACTACTAATACAAAAGTTCTTGGTAAATTTAAGGATGAATGTAGTAGCAAAATTAGTACAGGGTTTATTGGACTTCGTCTTAAGTGTTACGCTTTTCAAATCTATGGAGAAGAAAAAGAACATAAGAAATGCAAGGGTGTAGCCAAAAACACAGTGAAGCGTTGCATGACAGATAAAGAATATGATAAGGTTTTACAAACTAATGAAGTTATACATAAATCATTTAACTGTATTAGAAGTAAAAACCATAAACAAATATAGTATTAGAACTACAAAGATTAGTTTGAATAGTTATGAAAATAAAAGATACTGGTCAAATACAACTGATAGTTTAGCATATGGGCATTGTTCTATTGAAAGTAGAATAGTATGATGACATAGTCATCATCAATGGAGAAAATGTAGTAATGAAGATACACGCAGAAATAAAAAGAACGAATAGAATTAATAAAATAAATGAGAAAGGTAAAAGAACACTATGAAGATAAAAGAGATAAATATGCTGCTAGATGTTAAATACTTTAAAACTAACAAGAAAGACTTTTATGAAGGGTTTAAATCACGCCTTGAATTAGAGCACGATGAGACGCAGTTGAAAAAAAGATTTTAATGAATTAATAAAAACTTGTGAATTAGCAGGTGAAAGTTCCGTAAACTATTTTTTAGTTATGATGGAGTGGTAAGAGGATATGAAAGACTTATAGAACTACAAAAACAAAAAATATATAATGTACTTCGTTAAACATGACTTAAGGAAATAAGGACTTAATATATTATAGTGAAATGTTGCTTAACTATAACAAGTGTGAATCAGTGTGAATGTTGAAAAAATACAAAGAATGATGTTAGTTTAACCTTACATCATTTACTACCAACAAATGTATGTAATAACATAAGTGAATATAATGTATATTGCAATCAATGCTGTATAACAAGAGACCTTGAAAAGTTTTTCTTGAAGAACATAAGGATGAGGGATATACAAAGTTTCAACTACAATTAAAATTATTTATGAGATATCAAAAACGATTTCCTATACACTTTTACCAGAAGATTTCCAGAAAGTCAATTGATGAATTCTTTAGTAATATAGATTTAATTAGGAGGTTTGGAGGAACAAACACAATTAAACCATATAAAGCATTTGTCAAAAAAAAACGTTATTTGGTTGAATGGATTGATTGGCATTTATAAGACAAAGATAAAATAAACAAACTCTTGAACGAATTCAGAGTAGCTGAATATAGTATATGGTATTACTACAACACTAAATATAAAGTATGTCTATTAGTGAATTTGTTTTTCTGGGAATATATTTATTCAATAATAGGAAAAGACAATATCAAATATATAGATGAAGATGGTATAGGTAAATATTTAGATTACATATTTGAAGACATATTGCCTGACAACCCATAAACCTTACAATAAAAATAAATTGTAAGATTTATGTTCTGTAATAGTTTGTTAACAATTTAAGTTTATATTCATTCTTTGAAAATGACTTAAGGAAATAGTGACTTAATATATTAGTAGAGAAGAAATGAACGGTATTGAAATCAATAAGTATACTAATAAGAAATGCTATGACTGTTGCCACTTTAAAAAAGAAAATATGGAATTGTATAAATTAAATTTACCTAATGGAATAATAAATAATATTATTGATTATGCTTTGGGTAAAGAATATTTATGTAGAACTTGTAGAAGATGGAGACGATATCAAAATATAATAGAACATATTTTGGAGATTAAAATGTTGGATGAAAGAAATGTAGAAGATGACATTTTGATATTTTTAACTGTGTATGAAAGACCACCTTATAGTTATGTTAGAGCATTTCTGAAAATCAGCAAGAAAAAACATGAAATGATTGAAGGTATATCATGGATGTTGACTTATCATAGTAGGGAAGGGTTTGATGTAAAAGAAGACATTAAATCATATATTGAAAGTAAACAGTTTAATGTTAAAAAACAGTGAGATATATTAATATTATTTTAAAAAATGATGTATGAAAGAGGTAGATATATAATATACACAATTTAATAGTCATCAATTAAATTATTATCCTGAACTTAAATTATAAATTACACCATAAACCTTACAATAAAAAAAAGCATTGTACGATTTATGATTTGGATTTATAGATTTAGTTTCAAGGAATATTGATTATAGAAACTATGGATTATAAGGAAATGGTTTAAAGGAATGTAGATATTATATATTAAGGATTATGGCAGAAAATAAAACAGACAAAGATAATAGTCGCAGATGTAATAAGTGTAATAAGGAAAAACATTAGATGAATTTGAAGAAGGTAGATTAGGTTTTATAAAATGTACTGAATTATAATGTAAATCATAGAGCAAAGAATAAAGAAAAATACAATGAGGAGCAACGAAGAAGATATGAAGAAGATGATGAATATAGAATAAAGAAGCAGGAAGCAAAAAAGGAAAGGTCAAGAAATATTGTAAGTTGTGATGTTTGTAATCGTTCAATGAGGCAAGACAGTTATTATCAACATCTTAAAACAAATAAGCATACAATCATTTAGAAATGAAACAGGCAGAATAAAATTAACATTATGTTTATTAATATATATGTTACATAAAATTGTATAAGGTTAATATGTAGAATAACTTATCAACCTTATACAAAATTTGTATGAAGTAACATCATTTTAAGGAATTAGATAAGGTTAATAAATATTAATAATGTATTAACCTTATTTAATTTGTTATGGACTATTTTGAGAAATTATTAATTGAAAATCATGGGTTCAACTACTGCGCTCAATATATGTTTCCCTATATTTTTTGTGTTTTTTTTTGGGGGGGGGCGGGAAAGAAAAAAAAACGAGCTTTCCGCCATCCGTCACCCGGCAAAGAACGACGAGAATCCCCCGCCTGCAGCACCGCCTCCAACTGCTCTAGCGCCGCTGGCGGCCAGGCGCCGGAAGACGCCGCCGGCTCCGCCGGCTCCGCCGCCGGTTCCGCGGAAGCTTCGGCCGCGAGGGCGGAGGCGTCGTAGGACTCCTGCAATCCGCTGGCTGAGAGGTGAGAGGCGCCCGGGTCCAGAGCCTCCCACCTCTTAACAGCCGGAACCTGACGTTCGGGAGTCCATTCAAAAGGAAAACAAATTCTTCCAGGACCCGCCGAACGTCAGGTTCCATGTGAATTGATGGGAGTGTACCTGGAACCTGAAACGTTGCCATTTAGAACTGCCGGATTGCCTATAGACCTTGATGGAAAATACGGCAACTGGGAAGCCAGCAATCCAGTACATGGCGACCTTTCAGGTTCCCGGCAACCACTGCCTGTTGGACAACACCGGGGGGTTGGGGGGGGGGTGGGACATGGTTGAACAAGCAGTTGCTGGGAGCTGGGCGCTGGCAGACATGCATCGTGTTTTTTTTGCTCAGGAGAGAAGCGACTTTGTTTGCCCTGATCAAAGCGCCTGGAAACGGACCTCCGAAAGCCAGACTCGGGGCATTTCCGCGCATCGGCCTGCGTGAGGTCGCACACCTGGTTGAGGTCTTGAATTGCACGCGGAGTTGATTGCAAATGCCCCTGGCTTGTCGAAAATGAGGGGATTCCCTAATCCTAACCCGTAATCCATCACTACAACAATCTCACAAGGAAAACCACTGGCTCAAACAGGAAAGTTTGATTTGATGATTGAGGGTTCTCATTTTGAACACAGACATTTCTCCCTAACCAAAAATGCTTTCCCCTAGAGTTTGAGCGTCCACCAACCCAAACCACTAAAACAAATGGAAATAGAAGGACCCCGACCGTCAACTACCAATAAAAAAGCGAGTTTGCCCCAGAAAGCCCATTTTCTAAGTTGGAATGTTGAGGGTCCAGGAACCTTTTAGGACTCTTCTAAGGGAATAAAAGCTCGTCAATTTGCTGATCGCCGAAACCAACTCCTTGTGCAGTACCCGGCGATAGGCGAGGTGGATGCCTCTCGTTCGCCCGAAGCCTCGGTGATCAAGGGAACCCCCCCCCCCCAATTTTCTATGGCGGATTTGTGTTAAAGGGGAACCCCCCGCAAAAAAGAGAATGTGGTATTCCACTTAGTTGCCTCATAAAACCACCCCAAACAGGTACCCTCAAAAAACACAGACACCATATATCAATATAATATTGTATGGGTGGGTGGGTGCAGACATGTCTGCACAGACAACCAAAACTCTTGCCGTCTCCGAGCCAAGCCCAGGGCATCATGTTCCTTGGTTGCCAGAGGCCTTGGATGGCATCGAGTCAGAGCCCTGGAGTCTCCATGTCTATCACCCGAACCCGCATAAAACTCCCTTAAACACAAGTTCTAGCCCCAACATTCTGGTTGGTTCCATCAGCTGAACCCTCCTAAACCCTTCAACAAAAATAGGTTCTAGCCCTAGAAAATGGAGGACCGGATCGGCGAAACCCTAACCGTTTTTTTTGCGGCTCGTTGGGTCCAGGTTCCCAGGTTCGGCCAACAAAATCCGCCTTCCTCGGCGCCTTTCCGTCCGAGGCCCCGGCACAGCAGCCGCAGGAGACCAAAGGCGCGCTCCCGGAGGCGGTCGATCTTCTCCACGGCCTCTTAGGCCGAGGCTGATGGGACGGTGGGAAGCAAGGGAAGAACTCTTCGGAGCTTCCTACCCTGTTGAAACAATGTATATATATATATACATATGTGGAGATATATATATATATATACATATATATATATATATATATATATATGTGAGCAATATATATATATATATATATATATGGACAATATATATATATATATGGACAATATATATATATATATACATACTATGTATGTATATATATATACAAATATAATATATTGTCCCGTCCTCCGCCCTCCTGGCCCCCAATGGTATCCTTCCCCCCTGCGTACTTTTGGGTGGGTCGACCCCCTGGACCGCTGTGTCACTTCGGGCTCGATCTGCACTTTTGGGGTATGTTCGTTCCCTGCCACCCGCTCATACATTTGTTCATGCGTTACCCCCTGAGCTTGGTAAAACTTGTCCAAATGTGTAATGCTACGTAGATTAGGTGACTCCTGTAATTACATGAATGCTGAGCACAGCAAACAAGACACAACGGGAACAGTGCACTGAACTGTGCGACTGGCGTGGGAGAATAGTCCTCCAGAGTCCTCGAGGGGAAGGTGAATACTCTGGTTTCAATCTAGACAGAAAGCAAGGTTTAATGCTACTGTGGATGGACGAAATCCGTTTCGCACCAAGTTGAACCACACCAAACCATTATCTGGTAACAATGGCATGCTTGCCATCGTTAGGGGTAGTGCGTGCAGCAGCTGACAGTTTTGCTTCTTGCTGGGTGCTGCAGTGACTAAGCTGAAATGGTAAAACCAAAACGGAAAAGTTTCTGGGTCAAGAGTCCGCTGGATGTTGCAGCTTCAGGTGCCAGCCAATGGGACAGCGCAAGTACTGTGGATGGACGAAATCCGTTTCACCCATTTAAGAAACCATGATTTCTGATGATTCCCCTGCGAATGTCAACATGTTACTTGTTGAACGGTATGCAGTTGGCAGCGAAATCCACGAGCTATCAAACATCGTCTGTGGTTGCTGCCGAAAAAGGCAAGGGTGACACGACCAATGTTTCCTCCAACTGCACGCAAACCAAGTGCAAACCAGGTAACCAGGGCACACACGTGTTAAAACATGGCTTCTTTGGTGTGCGGCTCTTGCCACCAAACAAATCTGTCATAACAGGTTTCTTGGATGGCCAAAGAAAAACCAAACAACCGAAACAAATCTGCAAAAAAAAAACGTGCTTTCCACCTCGCCACAAAAAAGGTGCCGCCTCCACCCCCCCTTTGGGCTCGCCATGGCTCACCCAACCCTCCCTCCCCCCCCCAAAACCCTCCCTCCCCCCCCCCCAAAACCCCCCCTCACCCTCCCTCTCGCCGAGTCGAGTTGCCTGCCGCAGCAGCTGCGCCAGCAGATCCGTCGAGGACCCCAGCCGCGGCGGAGCGCCCACCTTCTGCTGCTGCAGCAGCGCCACCGCCACCTGAGATCTTCTCGCCAAGCGATCGGCTGACCGACGCCCGGGGGGGGTGTCGAAAAATGGAGTTTCGACCCCCCGCTGCTGGTTGGTAACTACAGGAAACCAAAAGGACGCCTGCCATTCTAGGGGACCACTATGTTGAGAAACCCAAAATTGAGCAAATTTCCGTTCACAAGCCCTACTGGCGTGTCTCCATCTGAGAAAGAGCGCCCAGGCGAGAGATTCTCAGCAGCGGAGAACCAGCGCAAGTGTATTATTGTGGCAAAAAACAAACGGGAATAAATGATGGCCAAGTCAAAGGACCTGCACGGTGAGCTCGTCTTGCCCGCAGGCGAACTGTATGTGTCAAAGGAACCCAACAATGGTGTCAAACAGTTTCCTGGTGGTTTCCCTACACAGCAACCTAGAAATGGCTACTAAGCCTCAAACAAAACACAGACCCAAATCATATGCCTTGATCAACGCAAACAACATGTTCCCCTGGCTGTCCTGACAATTGAGCGACGCCCTAAACCCACGGACTCTTGGTTTTCGAAAATGGCCACATTTTTACAGATTTGTTGGGCCGTACTAAAGTCCCGTTGAACCGGGTACTTGTAGAACAACCCACTTAAGCGGCCAACAGGGGTTTTGGCTGCCGTGAATTCCCTTCAAAGGGTGATTTCCACCATGTCCCTTTAATACCTTGGTCTGCCACGTCAACCATGACACAGGACAGCATCAAGGATCAAACAAACCAACGAAACCATGAGCCTACGCTAAGTATCGTGTGGCGTTCCCCCACCGGATAAAACACAAGCGTGGTTGGAACGAAAAGACGACATGGAAAGCCAACAAGGGGCTGCATGGCACTGAGTCTTCGCTCCCTTGGCCCACCTCCATCGCCACCTCACGAACCCAGGAGCCCACATCGCCCCGCCGGTCCTGGGCCCGATGGGGCTTACGAAAGTGCCTCAGCCCGACTCAGTGGAGCCTTTTGGCGTGGTCAAACATAGGGAAACCCCAAAAGAGAACCCAAGTAAATGACTGAAACCTGCGGTCCATATCCTGGTGTTGTCATTTTGACTCATGCTCGTTGATCGTTTTGTCTCAGCTGCGAGTTTGCCTCATAGAAGCCACCAAAGGCTGAGGGGTTCACGCTAGTATTCCCTTCAAAACAAACCCAACAAGGGCCTTAGGGTACCTAGGCTTAGGGGACCTAGCCTTAGCGTGAACCTGGGGGTTGGCGAGGTCATCCACGTAGCCCGATTCCCACATAGCGGGTGCTGTAAACCACGGGCTGGTCACCACACAACGGCCCCAGACATAACAAGATTCAGTTCGTAATTTGATATGTGAGACCCTGAAGCAATGAAGAAAGGGCCAAGCTCGCAAGCTGCGTGTTCTGACTTTGCTTGTGACGTGTGGCTGGTACAGCATCAGTGCGTCTGTGCTTCTACCACAGCAGGTCAGAAACGAATTGCATCGGAATCCATCAAACATCTACTTAACATGGTGTCTACGAAGAAAGGGGATACACTTCTTTGCGTGGCCCTTCAAACACGAACAATGTGTGCCAAGGAACGGGGGATTTTGTCATTTACCAGGAGGCTCCAGCTACCAAACAAATAAACGACACAGCCAATACTGAAGCACTTAGACGTCTCTGCTCTGTGAATCTAAGAATCGGTGGACCTTGCATGGCATGATGTTAGATTAGATTACAAGTCCCATCACCCATCCCAGCATCCCCCGCCCACGAAAAGCCCAAATTGTTGGCTGAGGCCACTCAGCTGGACGAAAACCAGACGACCCTCAAAAATACTTCATAAGCCACCTGGGCCAGAACCTAATGTCAAAGAAACCAGCGACTGGAAATTACAGGATATCCTCAGTTTTGCTGGGCAGTTGGCCAATGTCCTGTAGAAGCTGCTGCCTGTTGTTACGATAAGCCATACACATTTGTGCCAAATCGGCTTTCCTTCAAGCTTACTGGGCGTCTGGGTGTCTGGCGAAGGCGCATTGGTGACGTATGGATTGTGCAGACGCCCTGTCTATCCAGGAGACACCCTTTTCAGACCTTCAAATCACGAAGTAACGACTGGGCCTCTTTCGGCTGTTGATTGTGGAGAACAAGGGACTGTAAGGCGGAATCCACTCAGTTCACCAACTGCTGACATGTTTCTCCAGGTACCATGGCCATGGGTCTCAAAAAAGGGAACCCCGTGAATGTTTGGAGTCCTTTGGGCTTCTTCAACCGGCCCTTCCCCAACAAAAACAAAAAGAAGTGCCCAACGAAACTCAAAGCCAACCCAAAGGCCCAAACTAGGTTTGTCTCAACATAGGGGGCACCCCGAAAATGGGTGATTTCCTTTTGCGTTCCCTTACGACCATCCAACTGGGCTACCTGGAGCCTCCTAAAATTCTTTTGAACATGGGCTACCGCCCCAACATAACAGGGTAGATGTTCCCTTTATGGGTTTCAGGAGACATACCCCTTGTTGCATGGCTTTCAGGGTGTGAGTTCCTTACTTGTTTTGGGTTTCAGGGTGTAAGTTCCTTCGTGTTTGTGGGTCTCAGGGTAGGTTTCAGGGTGGATATATATATATATATATACCTGGACCTTCCTAAAGCATGGAAATGTCCGTCTGTGCCACAAATTTCCGTCAGCTGACTCTTTTGAGGACCCACGGACGGAAAACAGTTTTGCAGGAATTGAGGCAGTTGTTGTTCTTTCTTTACAGCTAGTTTGCGGAGGCTATGTCTTTGCATGCTTCCGTTGCAAAGCTTTTGACCAACCCTGCCTGCCCCACTTGTTTTCCAACAAAACCCTTTCAGGTGCACCCCCTGGTACCATTCTGCATCAATGCTTTGTGCCCGCTGCAGTCCAAAGGTTCTCTAGCACAAATCAAGTAAGCAGGGCCTCACACGTTGTCACATGTTGTCACAACAGAGTATTGCATGCCAACATCTCTCCCCCATGCAAGATTTGACGACTTCCCAATTGCCCCTGGAAAGAACTTGTCAAACGCAAGACTTGGGGTGTGCGTTGCTTCTACGACAAAAAACCCTTGTGGCCCGCCCCAGTAGCCACGAGCGAACGATGTCTGAACATGTTCAACCAGAAGGGCTACCAGAACATTCACTCAGATGCGCATAAACTGGTGTAAGTCGATTTGCCAACTGCTGCAAGGAGCTCAATATCCGCCAACGTTTTGAGATTGCCTACCTGTTGAGCTCTGAGCAAGGCGAACCTAATCATTTTGCCCCTTTGATGTGTTCATGCAACATGTTGCAAAGTTTGTCTGACTTTGGAAGACACAAAACAGACGGAAAACGCGGGAAACGGACGGAAAAAGACGGGAAACGGACGGAAAACAACGGATTCCAATAATTAATACCTGGTGTCTACGGGTCTTGTGGTCGTGGGAACCCAGATTGTGCAAAGCTATGATTCACGCACTGTGTTCATTGTCGAGATTTCTTGTCTGCCTTGTCGCGTGCGGAATCTTTGAGAACTCAAGCCATGGGCGAAGCTCCTTAGCTGAAAGTTTCTGCAACTGTTTCCTGCTTCCCTTAAAAGCTGTGAACTCAAATACGCAAAGCTACGTGCATCCGTCAAGAGTTTTGGGAAAGCATGTGTTGAATTCTTATGGGCTTGTGAAATACGAGCATCGAGCGTGGCCTGCAAGAGACTACCGGTGTCTGCGGCGGGCCGTTTGTAAATAAGAGCTTTGTTGCCTTCGTTTCGTGCAGGCTAACAAGACCTCAGCAGCTCCTTGATGGATTGTTCTTGCGCACTTGTCATATATAGCTGCGAAGCAAATGAGGATGCTGTTGGCAAAGCCGCAAGGCTTCCCGCAAACGGTTTTGACACGTAAGGGCCCTTGTGCAAGCGTAAGTTTCTATATGGAGGCAGTTAAAAATGAGCCAGATCTCAATGTTTCGGCCAAAGCATGTTGAAGCGGGGCGCCGCAAAAGGGGACTGTTCCCTATGTGGGATTGCCAAGGAAGGACGACCTAAGAAACGGACCGTTTTTTGCTGCCACGTACGCTTTTCCGAGAAACGGACGGATTTAGGCGGACTGTCCCAAAAAAAGTGCCCACGGTGGGTCCAGGTATATATATGCATATACGTTTCAGCGTCCAGGTCGCCTCAAAAAATCAACGGCCACACCCTCGGGTCACTTCGGCCAGGCAGCTGTGGCGTAGTCCTGCATGGCACCCTGCAGTGCCTGGCTGGCAGCGATTTGGTTTCTGCCCCAAACGGCTCTCACAACAAAAAAGAAAGGAACAAAAACAGGAAATTCGTAGCAAACTGGTCAAAAAACAACAACAACTACGAGTCATAATCAAAACCCGGAACTTCATGGCAAACTGGTTGGGATTTTGATAGCTCGGACATTTTGGGTACACAAAAAAAGGGGGCAAACTGGTTACAACAGACTAAATTGAGTCATATTCTATCTACTCAAACGGTCGATCCCCAAAACTATATGCTTCAAGAATTAACAAGGCGCATATCCACAACCGTTTATGGCTGGGATTGTCGCTTCCGGAACTACCCGTGTTTGGATTGTGGCTCAGCCGCACATGACTATATAGAAATGCAAACGCACACACATTATATTAACGTGTACATATATACATAATATATTCATTGCATAGGTTGATGTGCAGATGTGATCCGCATGAGCTCACATGCAGTTGCGCAAATGTCAATCAAACAAACAAACAATCAACTAAACAAACAAGAAGGCACTCAAACAAAGAAAGACCGTACAAAACAGACAAATAAAACAAACAAGAATGAAACAGACAAGAAAGAACGACATAATTAAAAACAAGAAGAACATAAACAAAACAAACAAAGCAACAGGCAGACAGACAAATAGACAAACAAACGGACGGACGGACGGACGGACAGACAGACAGACAGGCAGACAGACAGGCAGACAAGCAGACAAACGAGCAAACAAACGCACAAACAAACAAACAAACAAACACAAACACAAACTAACGGCACATCAAACAACTGTCACCTGCCCACGTTGGACCCCGAACCGAACAGCACCATACAAACACACCAAACACGTGTACACATCTTGAAGCCAAAACAACTTGAGAACAACTACCACAATAAACACTTACACAAAGGAACAATTTGCTTGTTCCCGTCATTTCTACCCGTGTTTGTGGAACACAGTGCATGCTGTGATACCAAAGTGGGATTCCCATCGCCACGCATCAGTTCACAGCTGTGGCAACATAAACTCGCATTGTCCACAGCCATAGAGTTGGATGTTCCCAAACCTCCATTGGCCACGGAACACAACGGAAATGGCACCTTTCCATTTGCGTTTAGAGCCCGCTGAAACACATAAGCATATGCCCAGTAGTGATAGATGGCCTTTAAAATCAACAAGGGAAAATAACAGATAATCTTAAGCAAACGGAAGCACCCTGTACATGGGACGTCCGTTCGGCTTCCCTTCCACACAGCCAAAAGGGCCCTCACAAAAACCATTGTGTCAAACTTGGGGCCAATGGAGATCACCGCCACATAAAAAAAACGACCAAAGCAACTGCCAATCACTGGCAGCCTGGAAGGAATTTGTAGGGTAGTTGTTGTATCATTGATAAACCATATAAGTTACTAGCATCAAAATAGTTCATATATCATATGACTACTTTCATTACTTTTATCCGAACCATCCTCCACTTACTGTTTTTGCCCTCTAATCCAAATCCCCGCACCTTCAGCAGCAGCGCCACCTCCGGGTCTGTAAGCTCCGTGTCTACGCACAAGGTGCCCAGCGCAAGCACCGCGTACTGCCGGGTGTTGGGGTCCTCAGTCCAAAGGTTCCCTCCCATTGGGCAAAGGACCGGTTTCCGATTTTTTTTTGATAGGGATTGTCGACCCCTTGACGGGTGTTGGAGACTCAGTGGGCACAGGACCGGTTTCCGATAAATATTGATAGGGATTGTCGACCCCTTGACGGCTTTGGAGACCTGTTCGAATTCTTTAGCAAAGATAGGGAGTGTCAACAGAGGTGTCCGAGTTCTGTATTTGGGATTGGGATGGTCAACGACCAACCCCTTAATGGTTCCAGACAGGTGTCAGGTGTCCGGTTTCTTCATTTGGGACAGGCAGGTTCAACCCCTTGATGGTTCCAGACAGGTGTCCGGGTTCTTCATTTGGGACAGGCAGGTTCAACCTCTTGATTTCTTTACTTGGGATTCTCACGTTCAACCTCTTGATGTCTTGAGACAGGTGCCCGAATTGGGCTGGTCGTCAACCTCGCTCATGTCGTTTCAGACAGGTGTGAAGCTTGAAGGGAGCCATGACCATGACCCACATGTGTTTCGACCGTTCGACCGCCAATGGGAAGTGATTAGAACAATCACTTGTCATACTCCCAAGAGCTGCCAAGGGCTAGCACACTGGACATGTCAACCAGTGGGTCGGACACCCTTGGAGTTCCATGCGCTATGATCCCTGGGTGGGTCGGGGTCGGTGCTGATTTAACTTCCCACAAAGCAGGTTAAATATGAGGCGCACATTGTAAACGCGCATCTACGATATCTATTTGTTTATGAATCTTTAAGATAAGAGATTAAACAAGGTAATCATGAGTGAAGGGCATCTACTTCTGTTTGACCAAATTTGCAAGCTGGATGTTTGGCAACATCCAAGGGAACTCAGCCTCGCAATTGCCGTCTGCCGTACTTCCCAAGCGACACACAAACACACCCCAGTGGGTCCCAGTTACCATTCTACTAGGTAACCTAGCATTGTTGCCGTTCGCTTTTTTTTCAAGGGTGGTTGGATACCTATGCCTTCCGGTGAATGGAATCACTGGGGTTCCCAATGACGGCAGCATCACTTGCCAAGCGGTCTGAGGAGCCGATGAGCCTCGATCCATCCTGCACATATCTGTCACATCCACCTCCCCATGTGGGGTAAGAGCTTTGATTCAGTAAGGGACGTCATTTTCGGTTGGCAGTACTGTCCCCCACCATTTGAGGAGGGGGGCAGGGGGGGGGACCTATTCCAATTCATTGCCACAAGCTGTCAGGGCTCCGCCCTACCCAGAGAGAAGCAAATGGTGACTCAGCCCTTCTCATCTGCCCAAGTGCATGAATGAAGCCCACGCTCAGCCCATGGCGAAACAGAACTCAACGCGAACTAGTTGGGTGTAATTCTTATTAGGGGACCCAAAGTGGTGGACAGTCGAATTCAGGGATTCATGTCCACTGAGGCGGTTCCTTGCTTTTGGAATCATAGCCACGTGCAGCGACCCATTTGAGCCGAGCATCTTCTTGCTCCTTGCCCCCCGGCAGGTCAGTACCCAAAGCTTCCTGACCTAGGCGCGATCCAACCATGAACTACCATAGCTACTCACAGCTCCCAACACTCGCCAGCGTCTAAGTGGATAGAACACGTCAGGAATTTCAAGTATACGTGATAGTAGGCTTAAATGGCATCCACTGGTGGTATGACAATGTACACCTGTTGAGGCATCTACGTGCCGGCATTGATAGCATGTACATCACACAACACACATATTCATGTGGGCTGCAGTTGCCTTAATACACGGTTCTCTTGACAGTTGTTTAGGTGTCGTTTTGCACGGGGATTCTGAAGTGACAGCAACAGGACACTACCCAATGTTAGGTTAGGTCCCCCCATTTTGAGACCTGTGCCTCTGCAAACCGACGCGAGCACGGATTTGGTCAAAACGACTTCTCCGGGCGGCAGAGCGCTCTGAGCACCTCCTCGCGCTGGTCAGTCAGCGCCGCCATGGGCAGCGCGCCCAGGCAGAGGGCGAAGCCCCGGCGCGCCGCGATGGTCTCATCGGGCTTTCGGAGGCCTGAAATCCACGACTTGGCTGCCACTTGGCGGCCTCTTTTTAGTTCTAAATGGGGCTATGTGCCCAGTAAACGTCAGAGAACTCCATGTAGGAGGTGCGATCACCCCATGGCTTTGCTTGTAAATAAGTCTATATACCCAGAAACCCCCAGAGCTTTGATCACCCCATTGATAGCAGGGATGGGGTGCCAACAGACCGAAACTTGTGAGACTGATTCAGACTGATGCCCTACAAGCAAGGGCAAATCACGTCGAGCCACCACTGCGAGTAATCAGGACAAACCACCATTTGCAGTCTGAGACCGGCATGTGCAGCAACTTTCTTCTGGGATCTGGAACTATGACCTGGGTTCCGGATTTTCATGCTGTGGAAATGGATGAATGCAGATTCATCCAGCTTGATCAGAGCAAAAGAAAATCCGAAGGCCTTTCGGAAGCGAATGCTCGAGGCTCCACCTCATCCATCTTCTGCATGTCCATCTTCACTCCACACAAAGGAATCTCTTTACCTCTGCTCCACCTCCGTTAAATTCGGAAATCCAAGCACTAAACACTAAAACAGATCTCAAAAGCAACAGGACCGGATGGCTGGTTGCGCCACCCGGCTTACACTCCTCTGCATCTTCTAGGTCCTCCAGTAGAAAGGTGCCAATCAAGTTGGTACAAGGGCACCTACCTGGACCTAGTCTTGATCCGCCTTGGAGGAAGTTCTGCACGCACTTGGCGATCATCTCCTGGCTGAACCGCTTGGCCGCCAGCTCTCGCAAGGCTTCCGCCGCGGCCACCTGAGGCATTTCTTGCGGTACGCGCCGGCAGCGAAGCGATAGGAACTGCCTGCCGGGAAGCCGCAAAACCTCCACTTTCATGCTGATTGGAGAAAAATGTGCACCTGCACCCTCATCAAATTCCCTGAAAAATGTGTTTCCCCCCAAAATGATGGAGTGAATCCCCTGTTTTTTGGGTAGTTTGAGGGTCCAGGTATTGCTCCGTTGCCCAGTGACCCTAGTAGAACAGGAAGCCCGTTTTCCCGCTGACATTTTTGGCTGAGGCGTTTGGAGGGTAACACTGTGACGTGACACTGAGCAAGCGGGCAAAAGTCGAAGGCTGCAACCCTCTTACCAAACATGGAACCATATAGATCGCCTTGTTATGATGTTGGTGTTCCCAAACCCTCCTGTGCACTTGCTAATTTGCTATTGCGGGGCAAACGAATGAAAACTGCAATGGGACGTGCATGACAATATATATATATAGAGAGAGAGAGAGAGAAACCAGACGAACACGCAGACATAGACACACGCACACACAAAGACACCCAACGACAACAAAGACACACAAACAGAAACACAGAGACACGCATGTGCAAACACAGGCACAAACACAGACTCAAACACAAACATGCTTACATACACGCACACAATAAACCATAGGAGGGGGAAAACGGGCGCGCAATCTTGAAATAGCGGCCCTTACAGAATTCAGGGATTCATGCCATGTTTGAGCCACGCAAACCTTTGTACCCATAAAACCGCTAGATCGGCATAAGTCAAAAAATGAAACACACGGAGATATGGACCGCAGGTGTTTTCGTCTTTCCTTTACCGATCAGGTTCCCCCCCTTTTGGGGGTTCCCAACGAACTGTTGACCACCACCGCCTAAGCTGACCCCAACTTTCCATTTGCTTAAGCCCGCTGTAAGAATACATTTAAAACAAAAAACAAGTAGTGATAGATTCCCATGAAACACCAACAAGGGAAAGTTAGACATATTAAGCAAATGGAAGCAACCCGTCGACGCCGCTTTTTGTATCGCCTGGATCTGCTCCGTGGTGTGGCGGGCACACTCCTCCACCGTCTGCAGGTACCGCACCGCCGTGGCGTCCTGGCGATGAGCTCAGTGGCTTTGACTCGACGTGCCCAAAGCCTTTGGGGCGGCTTCCTTTTGGAGTGCACCTCCCCCTCCAAAAACAACAGCAACCCCAACACCACCGCAAAAACAGCCGCTTTAGATTTGCAAAAACAAAAAGCGCCATGAAAAAATGACCACTTGCTATTGGCAGATGTTTCAAAGCAACCAGGATAGCCTCAGGAAATGGCCACTTGGTGTTCGCCCGCAGAATTAGCTCAAGGGCGGAGGGGGGGTGGGGCGACAGCAAAGGGAAGGGGCAAGAAGTTAATGGGACTGGCAGACTGCTTGCACATGCTTCACAGAAATGCCATGAGGGAGTCGACTGCACACATAGCCAGTGACAACATGAGAGCAAAAGGGCCATGAACGGTCACCATGGCAAACAAGTCAAAGCAATGGATTCCGCGGAACTCGCGCTTGTAGGCTATGACCCTAAATGGCACTAATGAAACATGCTAATTACACATCAGGAGATTGACAATTGGTGCAAGCTGGCGCCCGGTTATTAGAACCCGTTCGGGGTTCCCTGAGCCACGGCAGGGAAACCAAGCTTTAGGTTTGTATTGGTCATTAGTCATAATTAACCAATTAACCATTTGCCAGCGGAAATCAGGTGTAAGTCGTTTGACTAGCCCGACTTCATATTGGGGTCCACGGCTTTGTTTCAGATTGTGCGATCCACTATGACAATCTGAGTCATGGCAATCTTGTTTCACTCGACCTCCGTTGCGAACGCACTCGGCCAGGTCGCAAGGAGGCGACCTGCAGCTTTGAACAGTGTGCGACGTAAGGCAAGGACCCACCAGCAGAAAACAAATGCGGAAGAGCTGTTCAAGCACGTGCCTGTGCAACACCCAAAACCAGAGAGGAAGAAAGGCCTCTCAGGCCTGTCATGACATACAAACACCACATGCCATTCACACTTGCTTACAGGGCGATAGCAGCAGCGCACTTGATCAGTGATGCACCAACTGATTACGTACAAACTCAACACCTGATTAAGGAACCTTTGGTATCTTCGTTGCCAGTCCCATGATGTGCAGGCCTGCTGGCTCAACACCTCCTATGAAAAATGGAACCCCGCACTATATGAAGTGCTTGAGAAGGATTCCTTCATAAAACAAAAAAATGAAACACAAAAAAAAAGCACGTCCTGACACGTCCTGACACGTGCTTACTAACTCAACACGTCCTGACACATGAACAATTCTACCCCGCACTGATATATGTGCGACCCTTCCATATTTTAAAAACCAACTCTCTGCATCCGCTTGGACAAGGATTCACTGCGCCCAGACTGGGCCGTCCTTGAAGGCCCACGAGGTCCGCGCGATTCGGCCCAGAAGCCCTCGGGTCGTGAGCCAAGTGAACCTCCTTTCTGCGACCTACCAATGGCCTGGTCGGCACCAGCTCTGCACATGCAGTGGGTCAAGATCATATCGGCACAGCGCCCTAGCGGTTGATCTGGTGCCCTCCCGGATGCGCTTGGAGCTGTAGCGGTTGCTGCACAAACTAAACAAATTGCATGCACACACACACACACACGCGCAGGAGGGCAGCACGCGCACGCAGACGACCATGACTTGCGCACTTTCAACACTCGGATTCTTGGGTGCCTCCGTGCGGAAAACACGGGCAGGAACACATGATGGAACATATCCACACATTCCCCATCCACACATTCCCCTGTGCCGCCCTTGTGCAAACTTGGCTTCAGGCAGGCAAGGAAAGGCGACACCAAGACGCGGTAGCTCTTCAATTCCATGATCCATTGTCAGTGGGTCCAATTTCCACGTTGGTGGTGTAGTCGGAAATGAGGGACTAAGAAACAGGAAGTTTGTTGGTGGAAAGGTGAAACACACCCGCCTTCCCCAGAGCTTCTCTTTGAAAGGAAAATCATTTGAGCATGACTCTACGGGGCTGTTCGGATCCGGAGCTTGTCTTTCGACCCCCACTTTTTTGCAATGAAGTCCCCAAAACTGATAAACCATTAGCTCATTTTTTTGGGGGGGTCCCTTTATGTTTGCCAATAGTACCTCAGCTTTTGCTCCCGAACAAGCACACATCTGTTTGATTCTCGAATTTTCAGTGAACCTCAAAATGAACCTCGAGGCAACCTTGAACTCACCAAACAAAAAGCCCCCCCCCCCCCGCCCTACCGGTACGAAAAAACGGGCCCTCTTTTCTTGGTACCCTTCCTACCCACTAACATCGCATTTGTGGGAAGGGACCTGGAAGATCCATGCTCCTCTTGTAGGCACCATTTCCCTGTCAAATGCCATGCAACGTGGGAGGAAGGGTATTGAAAGGCATTCCACATTCGACATTACACGTGAATCAACCTGGAACCTGAAACAATCCACCAAGGGCTTCCAATCCGAAATCCGCAATCCAAAACGGGATCTGCGCAAATCAACAACTTTGTGTTATTCGACGTGTCTCACGAATTCCACCTAAAAAAAATAAGCTCAGGCGATATCCCCAACAGCACCACACCCTCCCAGAATCCTCGCGGAACGCCCCGCGACCGGTTTTGCTCAGCATGCCGCGTTGTAACTGTTGAAAAACAAAGCTAAGAGTGACAGCGCAATCGTGCCCTGATCGGGGCCCGACGGCGCAATCGGGGCCCGATCGGGGCCCGACGGCGCAATCGGGGCCCGATCGGGGCCCGACGGCGCAATCGGGGCCCGATCGGGGCCCGACGGCGCAATCAGGGCCCGATCGGGGCCCGACGGTGCAATCGGGGCCCGATGGTGTCGTGGTGCAAGCGCCAGCCACATATTATGGCTCAACGCCGGTTTTTTGTATCCAGCAAAACTAGGCCATGCCAGCTTGGTACAGTTGACGCGGCCCGACTGAGTCCCTCCCCGATCGGGGCCCAACGGCGCAGTCGGGCCCGATCGGGCCCCGACGGTGCAATCGGGCCCCGACGGCGCATCGCCCGACCTGTGCCCGGTGAACCTCGCAAACCGTCCTCGTTGAACCCTCGTGGAACTCAGCAGAACCTGGTGGAAACCTCGTGGAGCGTTTTTGGAACCCAAAGCCCAAGTAATACTCAGTAATGACAAGCATTTACTCTGCTGCACTGTGAGAGTCCCGCAGCAACGTGATCTGATTTGCAACAACGCCAACATTTGAAACCTTACCTCGCCCCGGACCATCCCACACCCCTCGCAGAACCTCGACCACCCCGCAGCCCTTGCAGAACCTGGCGCAACAATGGTGGAACCCTGGTCGAACTTTGGCGGAGCTTTTGTGGAACCTTCTCAAACCACCCCGGACCACCCAGCCCTCGCAGAAATTGGTGGAAAGCTGGTGGAACCCTGGTGGAGAACCCTTGTGGAACCTTACCTCAAACCACCCCGGACCACCCCGCAGCCCTTGCAGAATTTGGTGGCACCCTGGCGGAATTACTTCAATCCACCCTTGCAGAACCTGGTAAACCCTGGTGGAACCTGGTCGAACCCTCGTGTAACCTTACGTTGAACCTGGTGGAACCATGGTGGGTGGAACCTGACCTCAAACCACCCCGGACCCCCCGCAGCCCTGGCAGAACCTGGTGGAACCCTCGTGAAACTATTGTGGAACCATACCTCAAACCAGCCCGGACCACCCCGCAGCCCTCGCACCTGCTGGAACCCTGGTGGAACCCTCGTGGAACCTTGCATCAAAGACCACCCCGCAGCCCTCGCAGAATTGTGGTGGAACCCTCGTAACATTCCGACCATCCCATACCCTCGCAGAACCTGGTGGAAGCCTGGTAGAAATGGAACTGTCGTGGAAGGGAGCAAGTCACAAAACATTGAAAGTGTGCTGAGAACCATGAACTTCGGTTTTGCTTAGTGTTCCGCCCATGAGCAAGGCGATCTTCTGAGCATACGACGGGCGCACGACACATTGTTTTCTTTAGGGCAAACCATGGAACCTTGCGGAACCTTTGTGGAACCTTTTGGAGCCTTGTGGAACCCTTGTGGAATCCTTGCAGAACCTTACCTCAAACCACCCCGGACCACCCCGCAGCCCTCGCAGAACCTGGTGGAACCCTTCTGCGGGATGGTCTGGGGTGGTTTGAGGTAAGGTTCCACGAGGGTTCCACCAGCGTTCCACCAGGTTCGGGGTGGTTTGAGGTACAGTTCCACGAGGGTTCCACCAGGGTTCCAGCAGGGTTCCACCAGGTTCTGCGAGGGCTGTTCCACGAAGGTTCCGCTCGTGGAGCCCTAATGGAATTCTCGTGGAACCCTCGTCTCGTGGAACCTTACCTCAATCCACCCCGGAACCCTGGTGGAACCCTCGCGGAACCTTGCCTCAAAACACCCCGGACCACCCCGCTACCCTCGTAGAACCTGGTGGAACCCTCGTGGAAACCTTACCTCATCCACCCCGGACCACCCCGCAGCCCTCGCAGAACCTGGTGGAACCCTGGTGGAACCCTCGTGGAACCTTGCCTCAAACCACCCCGGACCACCCCGCTGCCCTCGTAGAACCTGGTGGAACCCTGGTGGAACCCCGTGGAACCTTGCCTCAAACCACCCCGGACCTCGTACCCTCGTGGAACCCTCGTGGAACCTTACCTCAATCCACCCCGGACCACCCCGCAGCCCTCGCAGAACCTGGTGGAACTCTGGTGGAACCCTCGTGGAACCCTCGTGGAACCTTACCTGAGGGCCGCCCCGAACCACCCCGGAGCCTATCTGGGCTGAGACCCCAAAGCTTTCAGCTGCTGGGGAATAAAGCCTTACCACAAAAAAGCACATGACATCAACCAACCAACCAACCAACCAACCAACCAACCCCAGTGGGTGTTTCCCCTTTCTCGCCGCCCACCTCCGCTTTCGCCGCGAACTTCGAGAATTTCCGACTTCTTGGCGCCGAGCGGCGGCACGCGGCCTGGCGGATGACCTCGCCGCCGCGGCCCCGGTAGGCCCGGGCCTTCTCCAAGGCCGGGACCAAGTTCCGGAGCGCCTGGGCGGCTGAGACGTGGACGCCCACGTGAGGCTGTGACACAACCAGGGCTTTTTCCGTGTTTTTTTTTGGGGGGGGGGGAATGAGACGAAAAGGAAAGGGCCTAAGCTTCACGATTTCTCAACCCTGGCCTATTTTTTGGAACCAAAAGCTTTTGAAAGACCTTCCACCGCCCATAAGGGGAAGTGACACGAAGCTGTGGTACAGCGGGGAGATGGGGGAGATTCCCTTGTATCGCAGATACAAAAAGGGCTTAAAGACTAACCCCCTTTTATGAGGGGGGATCCACTTCTGTGATACAAAAACGACCTTAAAGACTAAACCCCCTATTTTAAGGGGGGAGATTCCCAAAAGTATCACGTGGTTGGACAAACCCCGAGTGATCACACAACCCTGCGCCTGCTGGTTCTCCGCGCTGACCCGGTCCTGCGGAGGTCTCGCGGGTGTTCTGTGTTTATTATTATTATCATTATTTTATTATAATAATTATTATTATTGTTTTATTATTTTTTCGGAAGCGCCTCGGAAAAAAATAAGGACCCATCCCCAATCCTGCGGGCGTTTTCGCTTGCTTGTTGTTTCTTGTTCCCGGTTTTTTTCAGGAAGTGCCTGGGAAAACATGAAGGACCCACCCACCCACCCAGAAGGAGCTCGGAATTTTGATGTCCAAAAAAACTTCACCTGAAAAAAAGGGGGCAGACATGTGTTGACACTGGGATAAATATTGTGAAAGGATATGCAAGGAGTCTACACAATGGCTGTTGGGTTTGTTGTCCCTTGCCATGGTCACGACCACTTGAGTGGGATGAACATTCAAACATGAACTTGCAATGGGCCAAATGATGTGCACTTCTTATAGACATGTATATGCCCAAGTTGTGGATGGGTGAAAGGGAGCATGCGTCCTTTGTTTTTTTCGACCCGACGGAATGTCTTCTCGCCCGTGGACCAAGAGGTATACAGTGACAGTATAGATACCAAACATGTTGCGCGCGGTGACCGGAACCTCCCAAAGAGAATAAGTAGCCCTCGTTAAGGCACAAGTATCTATCTGGGAATATTTTGAAAGAAGAATAGAGAGGCCGGGACCCCCCTAACAAATGAGTGGTGGTTCTGCAGGGGTCAACATTGACAAACAACAAAGTACTCTACTGCACTACTGCACCAGTCGGAAGCCAAAAGGACGCTTATCACTTGGAAGGCCCCAACTGAGTTCGATGAATAACAATCTGACTCGTTCCCAGCTACTTGCTTCATATTTGGGGCATCCACCAAGTTGGTCAAAGCCATGCCATGAACCCAATCCGTTCTTAGGGCCCATAGATTAGGTCAACAAGAAGGCCAAACAGTTTGGAGACCTAGAGGAAAACAACGGGCCCAGGAATTGCACACCTCGACCAACCCTGGCTTTAGGTTAACCCACTTGGGCTGCTTCTTGGTGAAAAGGGTTGTAGACCCCATTTCGATTCCATATGTATAACCTGGGTACCAGTAGAGCCGGCGAACACGGTGGGCGGAAGCTCTAAAACACATAAACAACACTAAATCCAGTTATCTTTCCCAGTGTGTTCTTCTTTAGTTTGTCTCTGCTGCTCGTCATCTTTCTTGCTCTTCTTTTTTTGTTTACTGTTCGTGTCTTTTCCTTTTTCATTCTTCCCCACCCTAGAAGAGACAAGCCCTCATGATTTCAGGCTTTTGCGGGGTCGAGGCCATCTTTAACAAGGGTGTTTTTTTTTTGCCAGCTTTCGTGGAAAAATGATCGACCCCCTCATAGTGAAGGATTCCTTTTTGAGGGGGTCGCCCATTTTCTCGCAGAAAGTGGCAAAAAGATTCCCCCTAATCTTTAGGAATCGCCTTGGGCCAGGGCCACGAAAAATCCGAGGCCTGCGGCGCAGCTCCCCCCAGCTCGCTCGACTCGCTCGACTCGCCTGCAGCACCTCCGTGAGCGCGGCCGCGCCCTCCACGGCGCCGTGCCGCGCCTGCACCGTGCCGCTCCCCGCGCCGCCCGTGCCGCCGCCGGAGGGCGCTTTGGGGTCCTGGTCGAAACCAACTCCCTCTGGTTGCGGTTAGAGCCCCCTGGAAAAAATGACAACACATATGTCCAGTAGTGATACATTCCCTAATAATAAATGAAATCAGTAGTCATACATTCCCTTCAAAACCAACAAGGGAAAATAAACAATCTTCTGAAGCAAGTGGAAGACTCGGTTCCTGAGTGGGTTGGCCAGCTTGTTTCCACGTTCATGGGAGGGTAGCTGGGCCAAAACGAGTAACCAAGCTTTTTGTTGACCAGTCATACCAACATGTTGGCATAGGGTCCAGGAACTCAGGAAGTGAGACCAGGGGTATGGGTCCAGTGGTTCCCCAACCCGAAGACACGCCAGTCTGCACGCTTCGTCTGCTAGTGTGCAGCAAGCTGGGAGAAAAGACACAGCCCCGGGTTAAGCCATGTGAAAAGCATTCTCTGCTTATAGATCCGCATTGGGACCGATTTGACCCTCAAGCATAATGGAAGTAACCTATGTAAGGCAGGTCTCGTGGTTAGTGGGAAGCCCTCAGGCCCAGTTTGGCAGCCTCAGTACCCAAGGCAATTCGGGCCTCAATTTGTCGGGTTTTGGCGCCAACACCTGTGGGAAGAAGCCTTCAAGAACAACCTCTGAATTTCTACCAAAGGGCGCATGGTCAACTGGTAAATCCTGACTAAAAATCCAATTCTCCCAAGGGTAGCTTCCCCATTCTTTCCGGGGATTCTAGTTAACCACCAAAAACACTGTAAAAACAGATCCGATTCTTGAAAAGAACCATGGTTGAAAAAATGGAAAAGGAATCAAACCCTAGAACACTTGGTCTATGTAGTGTTTGAACTGGCTTCAAGAGAGCCGGGACATGAATCAACACCTAGAACACTCAGCGCCAATCCTGCGTGTCCCCACCCCGAGAACTCGTTCTCTCCTCCGCGGCACGTGCCAGAAGCCGGGGCAGCACTGTGGCGTTCAGGAAGTCCATGTCCTCCTGAGACCGCGAGGAAAGGGAGAGGCTGCCGCTGGATATGAGCGTAACACGTGGGTGTGGGTCAAAAATTTGCAAACCCCAAAATCGCGCAAGCCCTGGTAGATGGAAACAAGGAGTAAAATCTGCGGTCCATATCCTGGTGCATTCATTTTGACCCACACGCTGGGATATGTGCGTAAGATGTGTTTGTACAGGGCTGTGGGAAACGGAATCCACTTCTGTGATACAACAAAAAGGGCTTCCCCCATATCAAGGGGGAGATTTCCTTGTTGTTGTTTTGGTTCAAGATGGGTTGTTTTTGAGGGCCCATGAGGGGTCGGGGTTCTCCATTGGAGGATCTGGGGGCTGCATTGGAGGTGTCATGACCCTTCGGGAGATAGGATTTTCGGGAGCAACCGGCGTCTAAGCTCCGAGCACGGCAAGGACTTTGGCACGACATTCGTCCGGGTAACCCCAACACCCCCCCCCCTGCCCGCCCCCCCCCAAAAAAAAAAACAGAAAAGAAAAAGACAAAGAAGAAACACGACAACTACAACTACACACACAAGAAAACAAAACACACACACACACACCACAAAACGAGTAAACCCCAGTGAGGAGTCTTCATGAGTTCTCCACTCTGTCCTCAGCTTGTGCTAGGCGCGCGAGGCCTTGGGCAGCCAGAAGCCGGATCTGCATATCCTGCGGCCCGGCTGCACGACGCGTGGAAGCCTTCGACCTTTGGACTCCATGACCCTTTAAAAAAGGGTCCATGACCCTTAATTTTGGGTAATGACCCAATTTTTTAAGGGTCATGGAGACTCCAGGTAGACCTTTTCTGTCAATCGGTGCGAGAGGTACAGGCAATGAGAAATGGAATGATCCCGACAGAAAAAAACAAAAAAAACAAAAAACCAAGAACTTCCACCTGGTGGTGTCCTTTGCTCGGGGAATCCCCTTCTGGTTCATTCCCAACCCGGGTAATTCCCTGAGCACCAGCAAGTCTTTCGGACACCTTTCTTGTCGATTCTCTTGTTTTGCAAGACGAAGCACCTGGACAATCTGTTTGGTCCACAAGGCCGGCCGGAAGGGCCCCCAACTTTCGCATGCCCCTTTTGCCCGTTCCAAGACATACCTGTCATTGACATGCTCCGGGGTTTCAAACCTAAGCCTTCACTGAGTCGCTCGGTAATTCATGTTGAATATGCCAAGCAAATGTTCAACGCCATGTGCGTTCTGCTCGTATTCTCCTTTCTTCAACTAAATATGGGATCCGGAACACGTGAGTCCATATTTTTACCACTATGTACTGTGGTGAGTGCACGAAATGGAAGATTGCCGATGCAAACACCAATGCTTTTCCATATCCCTGTGCCAACTACATTAAATGCTGTTCTATATCTATTTAGGTGTGTTATATATATACATATCCGTATATGGTGTGTGGATACTTGTATATATATATAGATAACATCCATTCCTCCAATCTTCACACAAATTCACTCCCTGCGTTTCCGCGTTGCCTGGTGGGACAGCTTCCGGTCCACCAAATGCTCCATGAGGCTCTGGCGATACCCGCCCTTGCCCAGCTGCGCGATCTCGGGAGCCACCTGCGGTGAACGTCACTGACTGAGCTTTACAACCCTAACGGCACCTCCATTTGCTCAAGTCTCCTGGAAAAAATGAAGATATTTCCAGTAGCGAATTCCCTTTAAAACCAACAGGGGAATACAACAAATGTTCCTAGCGTGCAAAAAAAAGGCGTGGTTTTTTGCGCCCCAAACCGGAGAGGAAACAAACAAAAAAACGTACAAATTTGATCCGACTGTGAAGTGACCACGAAGGCTTTCCCATGGGACACCTCGGGCCTCTGGATTTTCTCGCAGACTTTAGGGCTCCACTATGCCTCCAAATGGACGAGACTGGGAAGTTTGAGTGAACGCATGGGTCAAAGCCTCTTGGCCCCTCTGGCGCAAGGAGACCCAGATTCCGAGGGGATAGTGACCGGCTCAAGCCGCATGGAAGCAACCGTCGTGCGCTTCATTGGATCAACCCGGGAAAATAGGACTGTGTGTGTGTGTGTGTCTTTTAAGGGACCCAGATTGGTGGATGTCCATTAACACCACCAAACAAGCAGGGGTACCCTCAAAAGATGTGTCCTTTTTGTTGGGGGACCCCCTAGATTGGTGGTTGTCCTTCTCGTTCTCCTGTAAAACCACCAACATAGGGTACCAACTCTAAAACAAGACACCCCTAGATTTTCACTATTCCCTTGATGTCCAGGGGTGTCGAGGTTGTGCAACATCTACTTCAACCCAACTCCACAACCTGGTACCTGCATCGTCAAATGATTTGTGATAAACATCTCCAAGGAAGGCCCTCGCAGCAAGATCGAAGCCATTGGCAAAGCCTGAGCCAAAGGGCCTTGAAGCCTTGGCAAGGCCAGTGGAGAAACTGACCTGGTGGCTCAAAATGAAGGTCTTTGTTTCCATCCAAGGGCCCCCCAAATTGGTACCGCCTTTTTCAGCCACAGTCTTGGTTGACGTTGGAAGGGGAGCAACAATCTAAATTTTAGCAGTTAAGTGGGGATTTCCCACTAAGCCACAATAAGCCAAAATGTAATTTCACAACGACAACCATGCAGCCACCTCTCCCGTGTCCAATATAAACGGCACACGCGCCTCCAGGTAGGAGTGGCGTCTGCTGGAGAGAGTCCAGTAGTCTGCAATGGTCACCACATCGATGCCATCAGGAAATGTGCCTATGGACTTTTTGGGATGGCCGGAGCCCAGAGTCTTCCCTTCAAAACCTGAAATAGGAGCCCTGGCCCTGATAAGTCTCCTCTTCAAAGTCCGTTGCAATCGAAGGTCTCCGCAAAACCTGAAATAGGAGCCCTGGCGCTAAGAATGGAGGAAGTTGACAAGTTCAACAAGCGCTGACCCTGTGCACGCCTCTATGTTTACTACAACTGATCAAGGCGCTCCTGCCTCATCGCGTGCAAAAGCGATGCACTTGCCGACACACCCGATTACCGCACACGTGCGGCATTGAACGGTCATGAGGGCATTGAAATTGAGAGGAAACAAAGAAGAGCGTGAGTGAGGCGATTTGCCACTAATCCCTTTCACAACAGGTCACCCTTTGGATTCATGGACATAATCTCACGCCTGAGAACTAACGCCCTTCAACTACAGTACTACAGGCCCTAGTGCACCTGACATACTATTTTGACTTATCATCAACTATGGTTGAAACTACGTCTGGCAAATTATATTGTGGTTATTTGCTTCATGCACAAGCCACGTCAGAGGGTCGCTCCAGGATTTGTTTTCTTCAGAACGGCTGTTGGCCCAAAGGGAAGCCTGTGCTTGCCTTTAGTCATACTGTGGATGGACGAAATCCTGCACCACTTTGAAATCATGGTTGAAACCATTGTTGGTTGGTATTTACGGGGGAATCATCAGAAACCAGTGTTTCTTAGGTGGTGCGAAATGGATTTCGTCCATCCACAGTGTCTCTATCGCGGAACCCGAGTTTAGCTCATCACAATCTGGGAATGGATGACCGATGCGGTCGAATCGCTTCATAAGCATGGCAAGTAAGCCAACCACTGACGGTGGACCGAGTAAACTAGCCACGAACCACTGACAAGTCCAGGATGTCCTTCATGATCCTTACCTAGGTCCTCCAGTAGAGAGGTTAGAATAAGGCCGGGTACTCTTTTTTCTGTAGTCTGTTTTAGTAGGGGAATCCTCCCCCCCAAAAAATGGTACAAGGGCACCTACAGCTGGGGGACCTAGTTACGTTTTGCCGGAGCTTGGTGTCGAAGTCTTGCTTCTTTTTTGCTTTTGCTGAAAAGAGCCCGCACCCCTGCGTCGATTCATCAACCAGGGGTTTTCAATGAACCTGGCATAGTCAGGTGCAGGATTCCCGTGCGATTCATTGAATCAACCAGGGGCTTCTCGAGCCCCTATTTGTTCCATGCATTCTCTGAGGGCTTCATCCAGCTGGTAAAGGAGTTTGTCCATCCAAGTGAAGCAGCAGTTTGGGTCTCTCAAAATAGGAACCATTTTGGATGACTGTGAAGGGAAGTCAAAGGGCACCAACCACCTGCATGGGGCTTATGATGGGTAACTCACATCGCCTGGGCCTCGCCGAACGAGCGTCTCCTGCCTTGCCGCCCCACGTTCTCCTGCACCGCGGCGGCTGCAGCGCGGCGGCAGTTGATCTCGCGGTCGAAGACGGCCACCTACGAAGAACACGCGCCAGTCGTTCAGCGAATCACTTCAGCGAATAATTTCAGCTTCCTCCCAGTTGGTGACTTGGATTGCTGGTTTGGTGGTTGGGGCTGGTTTCCCATTTACCCTTTGCGAGAACTGGAGGATTAAATCCCCAAACCACCATCCCAAACCACCAATTCTGGGGTACTTGATCATTAGGCCCCCCCCCCGGCAGAACCATTCTAAGATGCTCTAAGAACCCGCAACAGGTCCTAAGAGCCTTTCCGGGGTAGAGGGTACTTGCACCAGGAAGCTGCTACATGTGTTTCAACCGAACTTGGAAAATAAACTCTGCCAACTAGTTGGGACGCGCATTGATCGACAAGCCGTACGCGAGCAAGACATGCTTAAGGTTGATGGCAATGGTTCAGACTGCTACCCCTTCCTTGCTCTTACTTCTTCCCTGGCTCATTGGCCCGTCTGAGGTAGACTCGTAATGGCAATGCTTGACATGTTGTCTGCGCAATTCCAACCGCCTCTATTCCTATGCCTACGTATTGCGCTTTATCCTCACTTCTTGAGTTGATGGGCCAAACAAAAAGAACCCCAGCTTTTTGTTTGCGACTAAAATGGCCAACCAAACCCAAGAAGTGACGATCAAGTCTGATGAGCTCAGGAACTGAGAATCTGGTGTTCCCCTCCAAAAGCGATGATTTTTCAGAAAACCCCAGGACACCCCACGGTTAATCAAATGGATAAAAGGGGTGGATTAGGGGGCTAGGTCCTCCAGTAGAGGTTCGAATAAGGGTACCCTTGTTTCTGTAGTCTATTGTAGTAGGGGAACCCTTCCCCAAAAAAGTTGGTACAAGGGCACTACTGGGGGACCTAGTTCCCGGATCAAACCACCACCGCTCCGACCGCCGGGAACCGTCGCCTGGATCAGCGCCTTCGCCAGGTCCTGCACAAATGGCTGCAGCACCTCCGGGGCGTAGGCGCGAGCGAAGGCCCAGCACACGTAGCAGGCCGCGTCCCGCACGTGTTGCCCCACCGTGTGGTTCCCGGAGACCTGCTCGAAATGAAGCGCCTGGCTGGAGACTCGCAACGACATGCTCGGGGCGGAGTCAACTGGTCTGAAAACTCTACAAGAGTCGCCAAGCCGCTGATCAAGGACCCGCGCCGACACCTAAAGAGCAACCCCTTGCCAAAGAAAATAACAAACAATATATATATATATGTCAACATATTTGTGGGAGGATCTTTGCAGGATCCCTGCAGCATCTTTATATATGTATAATATATATATATATACATATGTGCCTCAAAAACCAAAAGACCAAGCCAGCTTCGCTTCGCTTCGCTTGCCTCGCCTGGCACACCAAAGGCACCACGGTGCTGAGACGGTCCGGCAGCAGAAGGCCACGGCGCGTGAGCTCCGCCAAAGCGAGGCACCCCCCGTGCCAGCCTCGGACAGAAACGTCTTTTGGGCATCAAACCAAGCAACAGGCAATTAAGAAACCACGAAACTCAAAAGCTAAGCAACCAAGCACCCAAGAAACCAAGGAAGTAAGAAACCAAGGAACCAAGAAACCAACCAACCAGGCAAGCAAGCAAAGAAGCAAGCCACCAACCCACCGAGCAAACCGGCCAACCAACCAGGCCACCAAACGACCGAAAAACCGGCCCAACAACCAACGCAACCAAGCGACCGACCAAACCAGCCAAACAAACAAGAACCCCATCCATGTCAAGAGCAAATTTGGTTTTGAACAACCCACCCCATGTATTGATGTTTAGGCCGTTCCCGGGTCCCAACATGGCTGACGTCTCAACGGCAGTTTGCTATTAACTTGGCCCAAAGATTGAGGAAGCTTTCCACTCTCTCAAACCACTGGGCTTCGCTTGGTATCTATAGGTTGAGCAGTTGAAAAACTTCCAGCCCCCCAACTCCCAAGCACTGCTTGGCTATCCGACCGGGACAGTCGGACATGGCATTGACGGATCGGCCCGGCGGCTTTTGTCGGTCTCGCGGAAGGAGAAGCAGCGGTCCAAGAGGGACTCCAGGACCTGGAAAACCAGGGCCGCCCGCAGGTGTGCCAAGAAAGTTGCGACAAGACACATGTGTCGCATAAGCCGTGTGTGGAGGAAGCAAATAGGTGTGTCTGGAAAAGGCACGAGGCCTCATGAGGTCTTGAAGGGGCCATTGCCCAACAAGAATCAGGCGTGGCGAGCAAAGGCGTCGAACTGTGACAAAAGATGTGTTGCCGGATGCCTGAAGCTGCAGCTGGGTTGGCTAACTTCGGTATTCCAGCCGCAAGAGCTTTGCACCACCATTTCGCTTTGGAGCATCGGTCCAACTCTTCGTGTGCCTCACAATTCCAACGCGTGAGGGCATTTCAGTGAGTCCGGTGGTTGGAAGGACCCCACATCCCAAGCGGGCTATTGGATATGGGTCTGCCTTTTTGAGGGAACCGATTTTGGGTGGCTTCAAAAGACCGCGAAAAGACCCCCCCCCCCCCACCCCCACCCCCCCACTTTTGGGGGTGCCTAAAACCCTCCCATTTGTTGCGTACCCCAAAAAAAAAGACGAGCCACCGCCACCCATAACCTGATCAAACCTGCCAACTTGTCACACCAGGCCTGGTCTGCAAAGTCCCGGGACAGGCGGTTTGTGATGCGGCCGACGCCCTTTGCCGCGGCCCAGCGCACCACGGTGTCCTGAGGCGAGGTCGAAAGAAAGTCAGAGCATCCCCACTACCGCAATGGGGAGGGGGGTGGGGGTCCTCAATTCCATTCTTCTAGTCTTCCCCACAACAGGGAAAATGGAACCACAAATAGAATTCCAGGGTCACCCCCTCTCCGCCAATTCGGGGTGGGGATCTCAGAGCTCCGTTGTACGCACGCAAGGCATTCTGCATTCTTGGTGCGGTGGTAATCAACAAACGTCAACTGTCTTGCCAGATCCTAAGATCACTTCAACTAATTCAAAAGCCGAGTGTCTGAGTCGCTCAAGGAGCACAGCAGCAGTTCTACCACTTCCTCCGCCTCCTCTGGCGCGTCCTCCTCCTCCTCTTCTTCCGTGCTTACCGCGCCAACGTTCCTGCGATCACAAGACCACGCATCTATAGGTCTGGCGGACAATCGCGGGAACAAATTGACATCGGAACACCTGGAGAAACACAACAACACCGTCGGCTTCTAAGCATCAAGTCACTGTCCTCACTCTGAATTGGGTCTGCATCCATGCTTGCGAACGGTTCAACGCACCTGGCAGAGCTGCACCGTGGTGCTTTCTTGAGGATGTCGCGACTCTTTGCATACCCGAGGGTGCGCAAAGTAGGTGGGAGGTCTCGCTAAATCTATTGGCAAGCAGTTTCACACATGCGAAATACTCCCCGGACAGGGCCTCATCAAATTGCTACGCACAAATACCTGCAACTAGTTCAAAGACCAATCTACATTCTGAATTGCCCTTCCACCATCCAGCAAAAAAACAAGCACATCCAACCCATCCCACCCATTTTGGGCCAAACTATCATTCCCACCCCACCCCACCCCACCACCCCACCCCACCACCCCACCCTCCTAACCCCACCCCACCCCCTCAGGCACCATCCGCGCCATTTGGCCGAGGCACTGGCCGGCCGGTTCGGCGGAAGCGACTTGGCCCAGGCTCTGGGCGAAGTTCACCAGCAGCGAGCGCTGGCCCCGCTCGTAGCCTGGTGAACCGAAGCGCCCCGCAACGCGGGACGAGGCGGCGAGGCTCGTGGGCCGTGCCTCCGATCCGGAAAAAAGAGGTTGCTTGGTGCTTTTCACCCGCGGGAAAAAGTGGGGCCACGTCCCGACCTTCTAGGGGACACTTCCATTTTCAGGTCAAAAAATGGCCTTGAAACCCAATTTGGATGACGGTCCTTGCAAAAACAATGGTGGTTATATGAACCCAACCATTGTTTTAGTGGTGGCTTGAACCCCAGGGCCCATTTTCTTGTTTTCCAGGGATCCTTCTCTTAGGAAACAGGAGAAACAGTTGGTTTTGAAAAGAGCGATGGACAAGAATGGGGGATCAGCCCCCAGAAACATCCCAAGACCCCATTTCATTTGGGATCAAAGCCCTCGTAATGTGGGGTACTATGATAGATACCTCCAAGACATAGTCATGATTACAATGGCAAACATTAGCAATGGTGGCCTCTTGTCTTACCACGGCCAAATACCTAAGTCTACACTCGTATTTTCTTGTTGTCAAAGCCTGGTGCTCAGTAAGCAGGGAATCACCCAGGGTGCGCAGACGAAGGAAACCGGATGGGTTGTAGGGGGCATTCCCTCGTTCCCTGTTTGAGCCAATTGAGGCAATATATTGAAGTTCAACCTGCCATGTCAAGGGGGCTGCATGATGCGGGATCGAAAAGGGGACATCTGTCACAATTAGCGATGACTATCCACACGTTGTAGTCTGAAAGAAACTTTCAACTAATATGTTTCTTAAATTATTGAATCATAAACGGGGGGGGGCCAACTTAAAGAAAACCACACCCACATGCGGCGTCAAGAAAAGCTTCTTCATGGACCTTCGTCCAGCCCCGGATCTGCATTCTGGCTCCATTTGTTAAGGTGTGATTGCGACATGTGATTACAAGCAACAAAGTTTTCCCTCAAGAAGTTTCTTCAACATGTTTTTCGTTGTGCGTTTTTTCAACCTGGAGTCTCCATGACCCTTAAAACATGGGGTCATTACCCAAAATTCATGGGTCATGGACCCAGTTTTAAAGGGTCATGGAGACTCTGGGAAGAGATTTCTTCGTGCGGCCGGGGGGTTTCCTTCCGTCCCTCTCCGCCTCTCTCCGGCCAAGGCTCGCCAGGGCGCCAGACGCACAGGCAGCGCCAGCAGCGCGGCGCGGCAGGCCACGCTCACCCGGAGCTTCCGCAGGTTGGAGCTGCCGAAGTCCGAGGCGCCGCCTACGCGCCGAGCGCTGCGCCGAATTTTGAGAAAAAGGCGGGGAAGGAGACGTGGGAAGCACCAGCCCCGGTGGAAACAAATGAAAATGAGCTATCCAACTAGTGGTTTCCTAGGATTCTTTTGGGGTAATGATCCCCGGAAAAAGTGGTTTCCCAGACCCCTTGCCCCAAGCAAATCGCCGCCCCAGTCGACGGAAGCGAAGACTCCTGCCCGATGTGTTGAGTTGGTACCCCCCGCTTTTTGGCTGCGATAGGCAGGGAATGAGAAATGGAATGAGAATTGGGAATGAATGACTCCTATACCCAGAAAAGGAACCATCCAACTGGCGGTTTTCGTTAGGGGGACCCCTTCCGGTTCATTCCCAACACCCAGAGAAGAACCTGTCGCACCAGCAAGAGAAAGACTCCAGGTGGGTCCGTCGATTTGGAGTTGGTATCCCCCTTTTTAAGTTGGTTTTAAAGGGAAACCAGCAGAAAAACCGTCATTTTTGGAGGGACTCCATGCAATATACCTCTACCCTTAAACTACACATTTAAAAGGAAAAAAATCACCACCCATAATTTTGTCGGGTTGCTATAACCCAGACTTCAGACTTGTCCTGAAACCTGATACAACCATTTACTTAAAGTGTTTCTCAAGCTGCCATTTCCAAAGTCTATTCATATAGGAATATGCTGCTTTGCAATTTCAATCTACCATTCGTAAATGGTTGTTTCAGGTTCCAGGATGTAATCTAGTCCAATATTCGATCCAACCTCCAGACTCCATGTTTCTATTTTCTAACACCAATATGTTTGACCGAGGGTAAATGTGGGTAAATACTTCACGGAGTGTCTGGGACGGCAACACTACACCATGTCTTTCGTTGATAGTAAAAATGTGCTTGCATCCCTTTCATGTGGCCGTGGGTCAAAAATGCGTACCCAAATTGGAACCATGGTAAATGAAACCAAAGACTAGAACATGCGGTCCATATCCTGGTGGTTTTTATGACTCGTACCCATGTTGTACATGACTTATGGGTCCACAGGGCGACATGGGTCCACACCCTGGGGCTTGAAACAAACCTCTCGCAGGTTTGGTTTGGTTTTAACTCACTTCGGGAGTGGCTGCCCAGGCTTGCGGACCAACTGAAGAGAGCCAACCCTCAGGATTGCAAGGTCATAGGGGTCCAGATCCAAACAAATGCCGAAACTCCGGGTGGCGATTTTCACCACACATGCCGAGATTCTTGGCGCTTGCCCCAAACATGGGTCTCCTGGCGCTTGCCCTTCGAACAGGTAGGTGAGCCCGCGACAAATCATTTGCCCAACCCACGGCCGATCGCGGAGCTTCGCCTTTGGCGGGGCCATCCAGGACGAGGCGTAGCACTTGTGACCACCTTACAAGTCGGCAACATTTGACAGGAGCTTCCAAGGGCGAGGGCTTACCCAAAATTACTCATAGGGCGCGCTTCAGGTACAAATGGATGCTCTCTGGAAGGTGCCAGAGGTGTACTGGTTGAAACTAAGATTTGTTGCCGGTCGAAGTGAAAGCTGGGTCTTGACTTTCCGTTCCACATTGCGAGTATTTTTTTTTTGAAGATACTAATGGTGTTTTGATGTTTAAGCAGTGATACGTTGAGGAACTGTTTGAATTTCCAAACATGAGTGTTTTTTGCAATTCAAGAACTGTACGGAGCTGTTACTGCGAACATCCCCTGCATTATCGTGTTCTTGGAAGTCTATTTTTAGGGTATTTGACAAGTATCTGCTTTTGATGGTTGATTTTGGGAAATAACAAAAAAATCCGGTTTTTTGGACTTTGTTGCGGCCAGCCGGCTGCATTCCCAGCATTCCTGCCATTTCTGGTATTTTCTGTGTTTGGTCAATTTTGCGTGTCTGAAATTCTGGATGCGAAGATTGGGTCTGTTCCTGTACGTTGTGTGGTTGCATCCCTTGCATTTCCAGCATGCTCAGCATCGCTTCCATGAAAAAATGAAAAAGGTCTTAAATTCCCTTGCACCCCACTGGCGTCGGCGGATCACGTAGCGATTTCAATATCCATCTGGTTTCCTTGGGAAACGAATGGTTGCCATTTGCCACGAATGCAAACGAGCCATCTGTGGTTCTCCACGTCTGTACTGTCCCAAGTATTCTCCCAAGAAAAAACCGCCTGAACCTGACGTTCGGGGGAAGTCCGGCGAAAGGGACCCCACAGGTTCCATGTAAGGGATGGGAGGGTCATCCCATGTCCGCAATCCCGGGTTCGGTGCCAACTCGGCTTGGCACCTGGTGGGGGTTGAGGGGGGGAGCCACAATGAGCCCCAATGAGCCCCAAATAAGGCCGTATTACAATCTTAATAAGGGGGGGGTTGGTGGGGGCTGGTGGGAGGGGGAAAAAAAAAAAAGCCGCTTAAGGGCTTATTTGGGCTCCCCCTCCCCTCCTTTCCCATGAGCCCCATTCAGCTTGGCCGCAAGCCCTCCGCGAAGGCGTCCCGTGGCGCCAGCTTCAGCGTCTGGTTCCAGCCCTGCAGCCCGCCAGTCCTACGCTGGAGACGAAGAAAAAACAGGAGCCGGGCTGCTTTAAAGCTAGATCATTACTGTTTTACTTGTTTGGTTTAAGCAAAAAACAGCAGAACACGGACAGGATGGATGAAAAGATGATCGTGGGCTTTATGGATGAACTAGGTCTTACTGCTTTAAATTGGTAGATCGTTTTAAGGTGGATCATGATTACTGCTTTAAAGGTTTTACTTGGTTGTTTTAAGCGCAAAAAAAACAGGATGGATGAAAAGATGATCGTGGGCTGTATGGATGAACAGATACTCTTGTGCGATAAGAATACAATCCCGCAGGATGGATGAAATGACAATCTTTTGTTGTGGTGCAGGAACCAATGATGGCAAACACACACCTCCAAGAATTATCAATATAAGCTTCTAGCACCGGACATATGGTACGCTCATCCATGCTGTCCAAAGCCCATCCTATATTCCCGAAAATGCTCTGGAAGAAAAGTCCGAGTCTCACCGAACCCAACGGGAAACCGGCGAGGGTCCGTTTTGGGTCACAGGACTCGCCTGGTGCCTGCCGCGAGGGTCTGGAAGGGAACCTACCGGGATCAGCGTCCGGGGGGGCACGGCATTGGGTACCCTTCTTTCTGTCGTCTATTTTAGTAGGGAACCCTCCCAAAACAAGAAAAGAAGGGCACTGGGGGACCTATGGAGTTCCCAACACACCAACTCAACAATCGCTTGTCACAAGAGCTCTTGAACCAAAGTCAAGTGGTAAGGAATGGCCAACACACGTATATATGCATGTGTATATATATATATATGTAAATCCCTTCTTCCTAATTTTAGCCCCGATAATAATAAACATGATGTTCTACTCCCAAAAAGTCCAGGCCGGCAATACTACAAATAGAATCGCCAATTTGAAACCAATACCAAGTCGTAAACGGTAAGGGGGCCTTTCAGAACCAGCACAACACCATTTCTAAAATCATGTAAAATACCAATACATGTTGCATACAAAACATGACACTGATTTATGCAGCGTAAATTTCTTACTCGGAGATCGTAATCTTGAAATGATTTTGGCTCCAGAAGGGGGAGATCTGATTAGGAGCGCCGAGGACGGAAGAGGACAGAACGGAACTCCAGCCACCGAATAATAACATGTGGTGTTTTGAGGGGGGACCCTTTTACTATTAGGATCATGTCATCATATTGTCACATGTTGCCCACCAACTTACACAACCATCAAGATCCGTCAAGGATTCCCCCACCACAAAGCCTTGCGGTCTTCCATGACAATCCCAGCAACAATCAGCAAGCAATCGGGTGAAACTCAAGTCTGGCGAATCCTCCATTCCCCCAAAACGGCTGTCTTGCTGACAACCCAATATAGCCCGCTTTCCCAAATACCAAGGAACAAAAAGGACACCTTTCTGTTGCTGGCAGAAAGAGAGAGAAAAGGGGACCACAAGGAAACGGAACAACAAAAAGAAAACGAAGACAAAGCCGGAACAAACGTGTAGGAACATAAGCAAAGCGTGGAAAAGAGCAAACAATAACAGTTAAAAGGAAAAACTCAAGGGACATACATATATATATATATAATAAATATATAATAAATAACAATGAATGAATATAGCCAACTAACCAACAAGGAGCAAGAAACTAGTCCAACTACTTCCGTCTTTCCTCACGAAGGCCAGGGTGGTGGGTGCTTCTTCTGCCACCCACGCCTGCACCGGGCGAGGGGCGGCAGGGCGGCGGTGGGGGGGGGTCCGAAGCCACGGCCAGAAATCTGGGCCGCCCGTTTTCTGATCCGCTAAAAGTGACTAACGTCTTAGTGGGTTAAATGGAAACTACCACTAAGCACTAAAAGGCTAAACGGCTAAGGAACCGGATGGCTGGAAGCCACCTAAATAAAATCAGGGTTGGTCCAACGACCGAGGGCAGAAAGTTGATTCCTGAAGGAAAACCGACCTGTAGAGGAAACCAAAACCAAACTTCGACACTTGTGGTCTGGTCAAAGGCTCAAAGCACCGTTGCTCACACACCTCCACATGCATCATGTCCTGCAATGCAGATTTTGATTTGTGCTGGCCAAGTTAAGTCTGACCCACGCATCCAGCAGCAGGGGGGTGCAACACAGACCCTCATTCTGCTTGATAATGGAGGATTTACAGAGCGCGAAAGCAACCGGAAGAGAGATAAACTGAAAGGGGTACCTCTGAAAAAAATGTTCAGCCCTTGCGCGTGGGTGTGAACAACTACCTCTTTCCGTGATACTGAAGTAACATTTCCATCCCACTTAAAACCTGATCACTTTGCAGGGCATTCCGGCGTTCACTTGATACTCGGAGACCAGGAGTTCACGGCAAATGTGTATGGGTCAAAATTGAGCTGCCAACCGCAGATTTTAGTCCTTGGCTCCATGTTCCAGGCTTTCATGTTGGGTTACCCTGGCCCTAAAAACATCTAGCTCCCTAAAACATGGCCCTAAATAGGGGCCAAACAGGGGGGGTCGCCAGATTGAGTAGTCACCAGCTTGCTTACGCGAACCCTCTGCGAACCCCAGCTGGGTTAGCCGAACTTAGCCGAACCTAGGGGGGGTTAGTGGAGGGTTAGTGGGGTGTCCCGCGCGTAGCCAGCAGGCACCAAAGCAATGCGATCCTTTTTGCGTCAAACCAGGCAGCCATCGTCTTTCAGTGGCTCACTAGAATCGGGGCCTGTCGACACACGATGCATCATCGGACAAACAACACAACACTTGAGAATCACAAAAAGACAGTGGATGGCCTGCCTGATGGTGTGCTTGGCCCAATGGATGCGACCAAGCCTCAGCCATCATCCAGCTCCAGCAATAAGCACATGAGCGGGTCATGTTGGTGAAGTCAAGCCATGCACTAGCGTACGCGTGGGCAAAATGAGGACCGCTCCCTTGCAAATCGCCCAAAGCCTGGGCGTGAGGGATGCTTGTGAACCGCAAAACCATGGTCAACTGTCAAGGCCACGGGTTGGTGTGTTGCAGGTGGCTGGTGCTCGGGCGTTGGGTGGTTTTGCTGGTGGGTTTTGCAGCGGTTGGCTTTTTGCAGCTGGCTCGTTTGTTGTCGACGCATTCTTTATGAACCTGTTCTGCTGTTGGCTGGCCTTAGATGGACATATTTAATCAAAAACACCACCCACACAACCACAAACATAAACACCCACCCACCCACCCACCCACCCACCCACCCGCCCGCCCGCCCGCCCGCCCGCCCTACCAGCCACCCACCCACCTGCTCCACCCAACCCACCCGCCCCACCCACCCACGCCCACCCACCCACACCCATCCACCCACCCACCCACACCCACCCACCCACCCACCCCACCCACCCACACCCACCCACACCCACCCACCCACACCCGCCCGCCCGCCCACCCGCCCACACGCCCCGCACAAACCCGCCACACCGTGCCACACCCTGGCACACCCACTCGCCCACACAACTAGGCGCCAGACACGCTTGCCCTTTTTTCCAAGGAGCTGCTCATTTGAATGATTGGGCTGTATTGCGGGGTTTATATCCCTGGTTCTTGGTCCCTGGTCGTTGGTCCCCTGGTCTTTGCTTGGTCGGCGCCTTGATCTTTGGTATCATTCGTGCTAGGACACACACGGTAAAGACCCGAGCGCTCTTGGAAACAAACATGGAAGCCAAGCATGTCCCGAATTGTTGGCCAGTGCTCTGTCCAAAACGATCTTGCGGATGCACCCCTCACACCCCACTCTCCCACACCCCCACACCACCACACCCCCACACCCACACTCCTTATATCCCTGCACATTTCATTATTGATGTTGAACCAAGATTGCGCTTCTGACCGTGGCTGCATCGCTGAACATACACCAATCACAATGGACAAAGGCAAACAGCAGCAGAGTATCGCAATAGCATTGCTGCTACTCTAAGCTGGCAACATGGCAGAATCTGATTGACGAAGGCCGAGACGAAGCCCTGCGAGCAAATGCCAGTGTGTGAGACTGAATTAGACTGAGCGCCAGGCTTGGACCCTCCTTGCAGTTGATGGACCACCTCGGACTCCAGATAAACAAAGCAGGACAGGGAAGCATCATGAAGACATGCTCTTTTCGCCAGCGCTTGGCACATTTTGACTTACATCGCGTGCTCGACCTGACAACAAAAAAAACCTATAATCACGTGGCCTTTATGCAGGGCAAAGCCGTGAGACCACGGCGTGACTCAATCCGACTCAACGTCGCTCAGACCGCCCTTGCCACTCTTGGGCTTTTGAGGGCTGGACATTTTCAACTGCTTGGCCCCTGTTTCAGGAGACCCTTGCTTCTTGGTTGTCTTCCGGCTCTTCCGTGGCGGGGTCTTGACTTCAGGCTTCTCGTCTAAAGTCCCAGCGTCAGCGCAGTCCTTCAGAAACAGCGGGCCAGCAATCTTGATGTCCGGGGACTTTTGCAACAATGACGAGACGCTCAGGGAAACCAAATCCCTCTTCAGGACTGCTTTGGCGAACGAGTGACCGAGGACCAGCTCTGTGTCATCACCGCAGATGCAGTCCGGGAGTGGCAGGACTTCTCCAGTGGGGACAAACCGCACGACCTTCTCACCGCTCTCATCATCCTCCAATCGCCAGTAGCTGTGGGCAGACCAGAAGGCCTACCGGGCAAAGCCCAAATTTTCAAAATGCGACAAGCCCTAACATCCAACATTAAGCACTATTGAACTACAACATGTGACACGCGGCATTGGTGGTGGATTGGTTCTGCTTCAGGCCTGTGTGGTTGCATCCCCGTCTGAGTCAAAGAGCCAGTCTTTGCAGCGCTCCCCATTGCGGACCCAGCGGTCGCGGAAGTAGTCCCTCAAAGGCCCAACCTTCTTGGTTGGCAAGGCCGAGGCAGGGTCCATGTTGGTGAGATATGCCAGGATTGACCCGAGGTCGGCTTTCGGCGTCTTTTTCGGCAAGCTCTCAATGAAAGCGCCCATGGATGGAAGGAAGCCGGACACGAGCTTGACCACGTTGTCCCTGGACAAAAGGTGGACCTTGTTTTGATAGGGTGGGAGCTTCTCCTCGGCCTCCGATTCGTTCTCCGACCCCGAATCCCAGGACCCTGACCGCACCTGACAGAGCATGGCGCTCGTTGCCTCAGGATGTTTCTCGCACCAGTCCATGAGTTCCTTCAAGTTAGCCTCCTGCGCGACCTGAGCTTGCCAGTGGGCATTATCCTTGCCCATGCGCTTCTGCTTCTGCAACAACTTCAAGTCCTTCATCGTCTCGGCTTTCTTGAGCTGGCCGGCTTTCTTCCCAGCCATGGCCACAAATGATTAAACGCTACAAAAGTCAGGCCTCTCTGACAAATGCCTGAAGCAGCAAATGGCGAGATGCAAACATGCTCTTGCGCCGCGCGATGGCATGAAATGTGAGACAGCATGCGCATGCGTGCTCGCTGACACAAGCACGCCGCAGCCTTTGCGACGCTCAGAGCGTGGCCCGTTGACATTGACCGTGCTGAATCTCCAGACCTTGGGGCAGCCCTGCGTGCTCCCTGCGCTGCGTACACCCAGACACTGTGGCCACTGCAACCTTGACCTCTTCGGGGAAGGCGGCCGCACAACTAGCCCTATGACCTGTGACTCGCGCAAGATGCCTCCACGGACTGCGCGCATTGCAGGGTAAAAGCCTGCAAGCAGGCAAGTGAGATTAAGCAGGCAATCAGATCAAGCCAGTCAGCAAGCATGGCTGCAACAAAGAACGCAGTGTGCAAACTGCCCGGAATCTTTTTTTCGCGTGCCACAGGCTGCAAATCTTACCTCTGCCGGGCTGAAACAAGAACACGTGGCTGTGAGTTCGACCACTGCTATCGACAACTTATTTTGTTTCAAGCTGCGCTTGCCATCCTTAACGTTGGGCGCTGGAATGCTGCAAGCTGTTTTTGTTGCGGCTTAGGCTCCTTGTGATAATGAACAGGTTTTCCCGAACGCCAACCGAACAAGTGACCTGACACATTAAGCTGCAAGTTTTTCCCTGAAGCTATTTGAACGTTAAAGGTAAATACAAGTGGCCAATGGAAACAACCAAATAGACGACTAATTATACCAAAGCCAGCCTCACAGGCAGAGTCAAGCAGGCCAACTGAAAAATCAACTTGAATACCCTCCCCAAACTTATGATTAAAAGCAAAGGGATGGCAACATGTCGGAGATTCAAATTTTCAGCTTTCCGCAAAGCAGTTTTCAAAGGCAAAGTGAAGGCAGCCAATTAGCTGATTGGAACATCGACTTGAAAATTTGCCCCGGAAGCAGCCTAGATGAAAACGTGCGGGCAGCCAAGTGGAAACGGAGGCAGCAAACTGGCAAATCTAATCATGGAAGCAAAGTCAAGGCGGCCAACTGGGAAATTAAATCGAAAGCTTTCCTTAAAAGCAGTTTTCAAGGCACAGTCAAGCGGCCAATGGCAACATCCAATTGCAAGTGTTCCACGAAAACAGCCTTAGATGAAAAGAGCAGGCAGCCAAGTGGAAGCAATTCAAATTAATTTTTTGAAGCGAAGGTAGCCAATTGGAAAACCAAGCTGGAAGCCTTCCCCAAAGACCCTGCTGAACGGCAGCCAAATGGAAAACAGACCCGGGAACTTCTTCGAAACATTTATTTGTTTTATGGCTTTCTTATTGTAGACCACTCTCATGCCACGACATTCTTGAAGTCGAACGGGCACTGGCAGTTTGGGTGAAACATTTTGTGCCTCTCCCAGGCGCCTTGCACAACCGATTCCACTGGCGCTGACTCATTCCCGCTTGGCCCCCAAGACCTGCTCATACTCCATCCACTTTTGTGGAAAATCCGCCAACACTTGTTAAAAGTGTCACGGTAGCACCGATAAGAGCCATCTGGCAGCCACGCAGACACACGCTCTGCATCGAAGACCCTGAAACTTGCAAAGTTGACCGGCTTTCGCTTGACAGCTTTTGCTTTGGACCCTGCTTTGCGCACGCGGCTGATTGCCCCTGCAACGTCCAAAAATGCCTGATGAGAGGCCTTGGCTTGCTTCAAGGCATCTTGCACTTCTTGTTGGTCTCGAGCGTGAACGAGTTCTTCGAAAGCTGGCTGCTTCAGCAAATCGATGAGGTCTTGTTTGTCGTCCGCGTGTCTATGGTGCAAGTTGCTCTCCATGATGTCAGCAGCCTTTTCTGGTGAGACCTTCAGCGCCTTTTCAACGCAGACCCGCAAAAGTTCCCCTACGAGATGACTGTCTTGGACCGCGGCATCCTGGGCAAACTCTTCTTTTGCCAAGAGCTTCAAGATGCTGGCTGGCAAATCCCAGTATGCGTGCTGGGCACTATACTCCAGAAGCGGGACCTTATTGCGGGAATCTTCGTCTGACTTACACACCAGCGGGAGAGCAGACAGGTCTCTCTCTTTGTGCCTTGCAAACATGTGAAGTGGGCTATACGTGTCTGATGGCAACACAGACCAATCCGTGAAGCAGGAGACCTGTGCCCACACAAGTGATGCTGTGGATAAAGCAGCATCGGCAAGACTCCATCCATATTTACATTCCTGTAAAGGGACTAGCAACACACCACTGTTGCCAGGCCAAACGCCCAAAGACAGACAAGGTCGAGGCCAGGACTTGTGCATCACCACCAAGCCCTGACGCAACAGAGTGCTCCGCCACGTTGCTGCGAGCTTGCCAATCGAGTCGGAGTCCTTGGCGTTGGCTAATAACGTCAGCTCGCAGGCAAGGCCCCCTACACCTTGAGGTGAAAGGGAAGGCCACACCATTTGTTTCAGGATTCCTTTCAGCACAGGCGAAGTGGGCTGCTTACGCTGGATGTGGTAAACAGACTCAGGCAAACTGACTGCTGGCAAGGTCGTATCTGTGGCGACCTCGTGAAAGCCAGAACCCTCCAAGACCTTTCTGAAGGAAAGCGTTTGCCACACCTGGCATGATGTCATGTCATGACCTTTGTTTTCTGTGGACTCTGTTTCACGAAGTCGGGAGAAACCTTCCTCATTCCACGTGCACCCGAAGCCACTGAAACAATCATCCAGAAAACAACGCAGACCTTTGCTCAACTGCCACTCGCTGCGCTCAAGCTCCGCCACGACATCCCGCATGATTTGCAAATTGAACGGAGACCGCTTGGCAAACACCTGACACCATTTCCCGCGACGTGTTGCAGCTGCTTTGTGTGCTTCATAACTGCGCCGCAAGTGTACCAGGGTAGCGGCTTGCTCAGCCTCGGTGCCCAGCAGCAAGACTAATTTCATCGGGTAGCCAAACAGGACCGGAGAAGCGTACACGAGCTTGTAAAAGACCAGCGTCAAGGCCATCTTCATGTGTCGTTGGCTTTGTTTGTCCTGTAGCCGAACCTGTGGGTGGTCCACAGACATTCTGCCAACAGCATTGCCACAGAGCTCGGCCTCAAACCAAAGACCTGTGCTCTCCAACGTGTCTGGCTGCAGAAGCTGCTCCAGAATCCGACCGGCTACTGCCAAAGGCCCCCCCCGAGCCTGTTCAAGCCAGTGCTGTCTGCAGCCCTCTTTGCCAGTGCTCAGCAAAGACCGGATGCCATGCAGCTCATGACCTTGGTCGCTCAGAAGCTTACACCCAACATGTTTCAATCAATAATAAGTTTATGGAAGCCAGGGGCCGGTTGGCCAGCCCTCAGTTGAGAAGCCCGGAATGTCCAAACATGCCAACAAACGGCCAGGCCACCATGTGCAAGATGGTTGGTTTTACCAGAAACACCTTTATTGGGCTTCCTGCAGTCGCGTTACACATAGTGCTCGGGACTGTTACGATGTCAGGATACGATTGGTTCGCCAGGGACAGGCATATTGCACTGCTCACAGACAGGCTGACAGGACTCCCCTAACGCGAAGCCACTATACGCGCCATCAGAACGCTTTCCAAAGGGCAACGTGTCCATGTGTGTCTGCGCCAGATGTCTCGCTAATCAATGAAAGCCAGGCTTCGAATCAACGAAGTATCTTGAACTCGGTAACCCCGTTCTGTACCAACCATGCGTGACAGAAAAACAGCCAGACCCCAGGACACATGCCTATTGCCTGAAACGTTGAAGCAATAACATCTGGTGTGCAGAACAGGGGTCAAATTTCATCTGTCGATGCGTGGAAAATTAGGCTGGGTTCCGTTCCTTGTCACACACACGGGCACAGACACAAAACAATTAAACCCCAAAAACACAGAAACACATAAACTCACAAGAGCACCAACATGCAAACAGAAAGCTGCCAAAAGTGTGAAGAAAGCAAACACCCACACACACACACGCACACGCACAAGTGCCAACGCATGCTAACACGCGCAAGCAGGGGCCAACCTGCAATAATAAAGGCACACGTGGCGAGCACTCCCGCAAACTTTAGCGCACACACACGCAAAAAAAAGAAAACAGGGAAACGTGCAAACACGAACCACACACACAAACACACACACACAACCGCACAAACACACAAACAAACAAACACACAAACACAAAAACACACAAACGCACAAATGCACAACCACACAATCGCACAAACGCACAAACACACACACACACACACACACACAACACACACACACACACACAGAGACAGACAGACAGACAGACAGACAGACAGACAGACAGACAGACAGACAGACAGACAGACAGACAGACAGACAGACAGACAGACAGACAGACAGACAGACAGACAGACAGACAGACAGACAGACAGACAGACAGACAGACAGACAGACAGACAGACAGACAGGCAGGCAGGCAGGCACAGGGACAGGCACAGGGAGGCAGACAGACAGACAGACAGACAGACAGACAGACAGACAGACAACACAGACAGACACACAGACACAGACACAGCAGACACACACAGACACAGACACACACACACACACACACACACACACACACACACACACACACACACACACACACACACACACACACACACACACACACACACACACACACACACACACACACACACACACACACACACACACACACACACACACACACACACACACACACACACACACACACACGCACACACACACACACTCACACTCACACTCACACTCACACTCACACTCACACTCACACTCACACTCACACTCACACTCACACACACACACGAAGCAAACACCCACACACGCCGGCGCACACACACACACACGCAAAGCAAACACCCACACACGCCCGTGTGCACGCACCCACTTTCGTGCGCACGCACATGATCACGCACGCACACACACACACACGTGCCCAGCCAGCCACAAGTGCGCACCTGCACGCGCGTGATAT